CATGATCTTTTGAATACTATACAAAAATTCAAAATTCATACTGATGAAAACTTGGATATATCTTGCTTACTAATAATACTTATTAAACAAAAATCTCATGAACATAGATAAGTTGTAGAGTTTAAACTAGATAATGAAAATCAACTTGTCCGTTTGTTTTGGATATCACCTGTACAAATTGTTCTTTAATTAAAGTATCATGATGTTGTTTTAAATGATAATACTGTTAAGACAAACTGTTATCAAATATTGCTTTTCTTTTTTCTTATAGTAGACAACAACACTAAATTACATCTTGTTGTACAAGCTCTCTTGTCTAATGAAACAACTGAGTCCTATAACTGAATTCTGAATACACAAAAAAGTAACAATGACTGAACCATTAGTATTTGTTATAGATACAGATCCTGCAGTAAATGTTGTAATCAAACAAATATATGAAACTATCTATCAAATTTATTGCATCTTTCACATTAGTGAAAACTTATCAAAAAATCTCAAATCTAAGTTTTATAATTAATATAAAAACTTTGTTTTCAATTTTTTCCTATGCCACAACAACCTGTATGGAAAAGGTTTTTATAAATAATGGTATTTTTTTTCTTGATTTCTATTTAATTAATTTGTTAATTTATTTTTTAGCAATTTCTTTTTTGTTTTGTAGATTTCTTTTGTTATTTTTCATTTTCTTTTTTGTTTCACAAATTTATTTTTGTTTTGCAGTTCAATAAAAGAATTTAAAAGTTTTTTTTTTATTACAAGGTCACAGCTTACTAAAAAATATCTCAACACCAAAGATTATCTAACAAGGGTACTCTATCCTAGCTAATATGCATGGGCTTATGTATTTACATCAAAAATATTCACAGTAGAAATTTAAACTACCTTTTGTATTGAAGGCTTTAATAGTATTATCAAATGCACATTAACAGCAAGTAGTAGTTTATGTAATTTTGCCAATGTACTGGATTTGAGATTTCAAAATAAGGTATAGTAAAATTATTTCTTTGAGTATTACACCATGTCATCATATATGAAAATTATATCAGTTGGTTATGATCTTTTTTCAGAAATCAATAAATGAATGACTAAATATCTTACCTCCCACATATTGTCTGCAAAATAGTTAAAAATAACATAATGCCTATATTTTATTATGAGTCAAATAAATTTCGCAAATAATAATAACAAGGTAAATAAAAGCTAATACAAATATTTAAAGTTATTTACGTATCTAACATTTTTGTTTAGAATTTTAGTAGTCTTGATATGACAAATAAATTTGTTAAAAATTTGTGTAATGTTAAACAAATTTTATTGAAATTGATAATTGCTAAAGTTGGTGAAGAAAATATCAAGGAAGTGTAGAAATTACAGATCTACAACTTGAAAATAGCAAATATTCACATTTTGTAATAGTTATTGATTCCATTTTGTATCTTTGTTCATACATATCTAATATATCTTGTGACATCATTTGTCACCATTATTTTCAGGTAATAATGTATTCAAAAATTATAAAATTTTATATTCAAATAATTTTCTTACAATAATATACTAATATCCAAAAAGACAATAATATAGTTACTAAAGCTTGCTGTTTCATAAATAAAAAATTCACGAAGAATTATTTAAATGAGATATTAACTTCAAATTCTTCAACCATACCCAAGTCCTTGACATGTGTTCTACACTATACTTGTGTGTAAAATTATTTTGGAGTTCCGAAATTACAACTTCAGGAAAAAAAGTTGAAATAGTTTTTTACAAAAGATAAAATTATTTTATTTAAAATTTAAAATTTTTTGATTATTCAGATTAATTCTTTAATTGAATATACACATAACTGGATATTTTTTTACTTCTATATATAGAATAGATTCTGTATAAATCTCAAAAATTCAAAATCAATTTTGAAAACATGTATATTCTACACCATGTAGTACAATGAAAACTCAAATATGGAGAAGTGTGGAGATTGATATGACATACAGCTCAACTTGTTATTGAGCATAACAATTACAGTGAAATAGTTGTATTGTTAAAAGAGTTTATTGGATAATATAAAGAAATAATGGTTAAGTTAATACAAAATCAGAATCTTCAAGAATCTACTCAATACAATGAAATAGTAGCTAAGTCAGTATAAAATTGAGATTTTCAAGAATTTACCAAAATTCAAGATGATGAAAACAAGAAAAATGAACTTGGTCCAATTAAAAATATATTGATATCACAACAAAAAGGGTATCCAGAAATCAAACATTATAAATCAATGACCAAAAAAAAAGAAAAATCATATATATATACATATGGTACATGCTATACATGTTTCCAAAATTGATTTTGGATTTTTGAGATATTTCAACTTTTTGAGATTTATGCAAAATCTATTCTATATATAGAAGTAAAAAAAGTATCCAGTTATATGTATCTTTAATCAAAGAATAAATCTGGGTAGTCAAAAAATTTTTGGATTTAAGTAAAATAATTTCATCTTCTATGAAAAACTATTTTGACTTTTTTCCTCAAAATTGCAATTTCGGGACCCCAAAATAATTTTACGTGCAAGTATAGTACATGTAATTAATTAAGATATAATAGTGTGATATGCCAAAATTATTAATTTAGATAACATAATATCATGATAATCCCAACTTATTAATAATAATATTGTTATTGAATAAAAAAATATAAATAAATGTTCAATAAAAATAATAGTAGACACATGATTTTTACATTTTTTAATGACCAATGAAATAAAAATTTAAAGATTTCTGATATTATTTTTTAAGATTGTTCCTGGAATAAAATATTCCAATTAGATTTATCCTTGAAGCATACTTAAAATATTATTAAAACATATTTAAAATTAAGTATATTTTAAGTATATATCTAAAACATACTTACTCATTACTTAAGTATTTTTTAAGTATATTTTAAATATATTATAATTATAAAATAATAATATTTTAAATAGATTTTTAATATACTTAAAAAATATTTAATAAAATATATTTTGAATATATTTTAATCATATTTTAAGTATATTTTAAATATCATAGTTTTTATAGGATCAGATTCTTTTATTTTCTTAGTATCAACTTGAACTATAATTGGTTGTCTTCCAAATGAAAAAATTAAGGTGTTGTTTTATCAGTTAATATTAAGGTTAGCATTATAAAACTATTATTTTTCTAAAATAACATTATAACAATTAAGTTTGATCACTTGAGCTTTAATACATTTAATATGGTAATTTTTCATTTTGAAATTATTAAGATATACTTCTTAATTTGTTTCTTGTTTTCTTTTATCTGCTAATTCAATGGTTAAGGTATCAGTAATTAGAGTATAGAGGTTATTCTTTTGTACAAAATATTTATTCACAAAATTTCTTGAGACACCACTATCAAGTAAAATTCAAGTATTATTGCCAGTAACACTTCTGTTAAATCAAAGTAGTCATTCTTAGTTTTCTTCAATCTGGTTTAATTCAATACTATTGTTACCAAAAATTTTCTCAAGACTTTTTAATTGGGTTTTCCTTTGAGAACAGTTTTTTGAAAAATAATTATATTTCTTACAATTATAACATTGTATCTTTGATCATTAGTTGGGATTATACATGTTCTCAAAATTGATTTTGGATTTTTGAGATATTTTGACTTTTTGAGATTTATGCAGAATTTATTCTATATATGGAAGTAAAAAAAATATCCAGTTATGTGTATATTCAATCAAAGAATAAATCTGGGTGGTTAAAAAATTTCAGGTTTTAAGTAAAATAATTTCATCTTCTATGAAAAACTATTTTGACTTTTTTTTCCAAAATTGCAATTTCAGGATTTTAAAATAATTTTGTATGCAAGTATAGTTGAGATTATTACTATTACTAAGCTTGTTATGATTATAATTGTTGTTATTACTATAGTTATTATTATTATTGAAGTTATTAGAATTATAACTTTGATTAGGGTATTTATTATTTTGGTAATTTATTTTTCTTTTACTATTTAATACATCTAATTCCATTGGTTGAGTTTCTCCAGCATTATTATATTGGTTTCTTCCACTATTATTATAATTATTATTATTATTAAAATTACTAGATCCCTTACTATGTCAAGATGAATGGAAATTATTCCCTTTATTTATTCCCCATAAAGCTGTGTCATACTGAGTAGCAATATCAATTGTATTATTTAAACTATCAGGGTTTCAATACTTAATTTTCATTTTTATATTGGGTTTTAATCCATTAATAAAATAACTGACTTGATCAAGATTATGCATTCCATCTATTTGTCCCACTAAATTTCTAAATTGTGTTGCATAGTCACATGCAGAACCATTTTGTCTAAGTTGCTTTAATTGATCTCTTAAATATATTTGATAATTTTCAGGTTAAAATGAGTCTTTTACACTGGTTTTAAATGCAGCCCAGTCATTTCAAATATTAGTAATATTAGGTTCAGCTGTCAGTTTATTCATCCACCAAGATGCAGCAGCATCTTTCATTCCTATGGCAACATATTGAATTCTAGGTAAATAATCCATAATAGCTTGAGTGGTGAAAATATTCTCAAGAGATATGAACCATAAGTTAACATTTTCATGTGGATGACTATAGAAAAGTGGAATAGTTACAGATAAAGTAGGAGCAGGGCAGGTGCATTATTATTCAGTTAAGTGGTTAGTCCAGTTAAAGCTTGTACTAGTGCATTAACAGATACAGTATTCATTTATTTTTTTTTACAAAATGTACAAAAAAAACTCATATTAACCATTTTAGCAAAAAGTTTCTTTATTATAATAAAAAATACTTGTACAGTATTAGAATTTGCAACTCCAAGGCTAGAACCCACAACGTTTTTAGAGTTTCAGCTATTATATAAATTTATTTTATTAATAACTAGTAATTAAAAATTATACTAATGACCTTGTATAATTTCGAACTTTTTACTTGTGCGCGTTTTTCAGTAATATGATTTTTCGCCATGAATTTCACATTATCACGTGATTTTGTGATCCATACCCTTATAAAAAGATCGCCGTGCTTTGTTCTTTTGTAATTGTGTTGTTCGATTACTGTCTAAACAACTATTCACACTCTTTAGCTAAAAAAAAAAAGCAATGACAGAAACAAAGAAAGATCTTACATCGAGATTAAGAGCTTTCGTTGATGAAGAAACGGCGGAACGTGGCTATGTATATTTTGTACGTGTTTCTTTTTTTTTTTAATATAAATTTTTCGAAAATTTATATTAATTATAAATAATTTTATTAGCATCAGAAGGTGGATATTGAAGTGGATATGTTAAACCAAATTATACAGGTAATGAAATAGAAAAAAAAATCTTTAATTTTAGAAAGTCTTTGTTTCAATTCAATCAAATCTATAAAATTTTTTCAAATTTTCTAATCATAGGGTTATACTGAAATAATCCTCAAACCAATTCGTTTTGACATTGAAGTTATAAGATTACATCTCCGACAATGTTGTATGTAAATTAAAATATGAAATGTTTTTAGAATCGAATCATTTGATTATATAGATCGGGCTTCAACTAAATTATAGGCGTTAAAGAAATAAAAATTAATGATTTTCCGGCAAGCTTCCAGATAAATGATTCAGAAGATTCCGGGATTGTTGGTGAATTGATAGTGTATATTCCTGATGAAATAACGGATATTCCTTTGATTGATCAGGTAAAACCTTTTTTTTTTCTTTATTATAAAATAAATATTTATTCAAATCTATTTCTTGATTTATTTTTTTTTTCTTTCTATTATTCTAAAATCTTTGTATGTAGAACGAAGAATGGGTATCTATTGTAGTTAGAGTTGACTTTTCATTAGAAAAGCCCAAAGCCGGCATTCACTTTAAACTTCCCGATCAAGACAAAGAGGTTTTCAAACCACAAGTAATTTTTTTCTTAAAAATTTACTATTATATATTTTATGTACGGTGAACCTCTATAAATGCGCCTCTCTGGAGACCAGCATTAGCGTTCATTTATAGAGGTTATGCATTTATATAAGGAAATTTTATAAGTTCAGGGCCAAGTTTGAGCGTGCATTTAGAGAGGTTATGCACTTACAGAGGTTTAATTTATAGAGGTTCACTGTATTTAATTATTATTATTATTATTATTATTATTATATTTGTGATCTAAAAAGAAATTGCTTTCTATATGGGATGACAGTGGGATCCATACATGTTTACAATAAATAGTCCATCACCTGGGGCAGCAAGATGTTGGATTCCTTGTTTAGACCGTATTCGAGATCGATGCACTTGGGATTTTTTTGTAACCGTGTCAGATATCGAAGGGTTCGATAAGATAATGGTGGTTTGCAGTGGAAACTTAATTAAATTGGTAAATGTAAATTTTATATTTTATATTTTATATTTTATATTCTATATTCTCTATATTTTCTATGTTCTTTATGTTAAAGAAAAAATTTTGAAATATAAATAATGTTAAAATATTTATATTTAAATTAGACAGAATCGCTAATAGATTACAACAAAAGAACATTTCATTATAATTTATCCGTTGCGACACCAGCTCAGTATATTGGAATTGTTTGTGGTCCATTCATTGATCCATATGTATTGCATTATCCTGGTAATGAGGAACTTCTGCCCAATCGGCCAATGATTGTGGCTTATATATCCGCGGAATGGGAGAAGTGGTTACTTTCAACATTATATCCTAATTCCGATGAACCCACTGAAGATACTTATTGGTTACATAATGTAATTATGAAATATATATTGTCTCTTCTTTATGATTTGAATATTTAAATTGAGGTTTTTAATTTAAAAATAGGCAATGGACTATTTTATTGAAGGATATTCACAATTTAACTTGCATCCAGAGTTTGACAAAAATAATCCGAAAGTTAAACCTGGAAAATTTCCATTTAAACGTTTCCAAATTGTTTTTGTGGACCATACATATTCGGATATAACTGTATGCGCGGGACTTGTGATTTGTCGGTTTGTAATTTGGGAATTTAATATTATCAGATATTATCAAATAATTGTTATTTATGTTTTTACCTTCTAAATTATATAATTATAGTATGCACCTGCTGCATAGCCATTACATAATTGATCAGAGGTTCACAACACGACGACTCTTGATTAATGCTATAGCGCAACAGTGGTTTGGAATATTTATTCCTCCGTATTCATGGTGCGTTATTTGCTACTTGTATTATTTTTTTTTAATGCATTTTTAATGTATTTTTGAAACTTGTTTTTTTTTTTTTTAATTCATACATGGTAGGCGAGATTATTGGCTTGCCGTTGGTCTAGCCAATTTTTTCGCTGATACGTATTTTAAAAAATTATTTGGAGAAGAAGAAACAAAATTTTTGCGTAAAAAAGTTAATAAATTTCTTATTATTCTTATTATTATTTATCATTGTTAAATAATTTCAATAATTATTGATTAAAAAAAAAACACTTTTTTAGGATATCGAACTTGTATGTCAATTAGATGTGGGCAAACCGCCTTTATGTTCATCAAATTGGAGTAAACCATTTGATTCAAAAGATCTTGAATTCGTTTCTCTTAAATCACCATTGGTACTTTGGATGTTAGATAAACGATTTCCATTTCTAGATTATCGACGAGGAATTCTTGGTATCATATATTTAATATTAAATAAAGCCAAAGAAGATACCGATCAAAATATTCGACCAGGTTTTTTATATACGGAACAATTTTTGGAACAATGTAAAGAAGTTATTCGTCAAGAATTAAGGAATGAAATAACAAAATTTCAAAAACAATGGATATTTGGGTCGGGTTGTCCTAAATTTAAAATTCGAGCGCATTTCAATCGTAAAAAATTAGCGGTGGAATTTAAATTTGAACAAGGAAACACTAATCTTATTGGGAAAACACAAAATTCGGATGGACCGAAGACAACTCATACTCAAGTATTTACAGTAAATGTCCTTTTTTATTTTTATTTTAACAAAATATTTGTTTTCGTGAATTGTTTCGTAAACATCATCTCGCCTTATTCAATATTTATGTATTTAATTTATTTATGCACATATAAATAAATAAATAAATAACTAGGGACACATGGATATTGCCATTAAAGAGCCAGACGGAATAGAATATATCCATACAATATACTTACAAGGGAAAAAAGAGACACATTCATTAATTTATCATACTAAATATAAACGTTCAATGGTAACTGTTAAATCTCACATGCATCGAGAAAAAGGTAATTTAGAAGCACATCCTCCATCTTATATTACAGAAGATGATCCAGGAGAATATCCACTACAATGGGGAATGGATCCTGAATCTGAAGCTAGTGATTCATCGGAATGGCAAATTAATGAATGGATTAGTGAAGAACGAGCTAGTAATGCAAGGTATTTTTTGGTGATCGAAAATCTTTGAAGAAAAGAAGAAGAATTAAAAATAATAATAACAACAATATAATTATTAGGGACTCATGGGAATGGATTAAAGTTGATGATACTTTTAGTTGGATAGCGATAATTGATTTTGAACAAGTTGATTATATGTGGGCTTCATTATTAGAATCCCAATCTGATGTAATCTCACATTACCAGGTAAATCTAATTTTTTTAATATTTGTTTCATATTATTCAGATTATTCTAAATTAATAATTAATTCTTTCTTTTATCAGGCTATTCAAGCATTATCTCGAGCTCCATCCAAAGCATGTTCTACAACTCTTATGCGTACAGTTCGAGATTGGAGATATCATTATAGAATTAGAATGGAAGCTGCACTAGCTATGGCTAAGGTTTCCTCCCAAATATAATTTCAAAATTATTTCAAAATTATATTAATTTCAAAGTACTTACTTGGTTGTATAACGACCAGTGTGCGAAAGAAGAATTAGATTATATTGGAGCAGAACAATTAATGAAAATTTATGGAAAAGATTATTGTGATTATCGTAATGAAACAAAATTCTTACCTAAACCAAACGATTTTAGTGATTGGGAAGAATATTATATTCAAAAAGTATTTTTACATTTATTTATTCTGAAAGAAATTAAGAAATTAGCGAACAGAAATAATTAACTATTTCTTTCTTTCTTTTTTTGGCAATTAATTCAATTGATAATAGGCAATTCCTTATGCACTTTCTTGTGTACGAGAACCGACGGGGAATACTCCAGAAAATATAAAGAAATTTTTACTTGATCTTTTGAGCTGGAATGATAATTCAATGAACGAGGTATATTTTTACGTATTTGAGTACTTTTTATAATGAGTATTTATTAAATCATTTTTTTTTCTTATTCATTATTTATATTGTATAGTATTCAGATGATCATTTCATTGCTAATCTTATAGAATCATTAGGAAATGCTTTCATTCCCGATGAAGATCAAACCATATCCGATCCAGATGTTGAAATCTATGATTTATCATGTGATTCGCAGGCATATTTGCAAGAAGCGTTAGAAACTTTAGAAAGATATTTAACACGTCATAAACTGTTTAATTCTTATCGCGCATTACTTGTCACAGCAACTATTAAGGTAATTAAATTTTCTATAGTGCTATTAAATCGGATATTTCAATATATATATATATATATATATAATGGAATATTAACCAATAGAATTTACACGTATTTAACAGGCTAAGAGCAGTTTAATGTTGAGTCAAGTGATTCCAGTTGATGGGCGAGAATTTCTGCTTCAATCACAGTAAATATATATACATATATATTTGTTTATCGCTGTAGATTATTTATTTATTTATTTTCTTTTCTTTTCATTTTTTTATTTCATTAGATATGGTAATTATGTGGGTGTTCGAATAGCAGCATTAAATGCATTGATTGATTTGGATTTCCATAATAAAACGGAAGTAGCCCAATATTTTGCATTTCTTGCTGAATTCGATTCCGATTTAGCAATTAGACGTTTTCTTCTTAGTAAATTTGGTGAAGATAGAGGTCCCCAATGTTGGGATTTACCAAAACGAGCTTCTTCACCTCGTTTACTGAAGATTATTTACCATCGCATAAGGAATTTAGGTCATGAATAAAGAATTATGTAATTTCGATCTTTTAATATAACGAAAATAAAATTCAATAAATAACTAGTTAACTAAATAATACTACGTTACGCATGATGGATATAACAAAAGGTATGAGAAAAGTTAGAAAATGGTTCAATAAAAAAAAAAAAACTAAAACTTTAAATAGAAATAATATCTTGAATATTATTACAAGAAATTAATTTTTGATTTTCGCGAAGTGATAAAGAAAAGGTAACAAACAAATATTACAATTTAATAATGTTTTTTTTTTCCGAAATTAAATAGAAAAGAGCAGGTGAACTCAAAAAAGGATAGTGAAAATAAATAAAGAATAATATAAAATAGAAAAAGGCAAGAAAAATGACTCTTTGCTATCAGTACTTGATTTTTCATTGTACTATTATGTTTACATAATGAATACTTTTTTTTATATGAAGATTTCTGTGTATTTTCAGTATTCTGGTCCATCTTTAAGCAACTAAATAAAAGTTTTTGCTCAGCAAACTACACTCACCTATCAAAAGTATTGGACCAGAGGCTTTTTTTAAAAAATTTATTAATATTATTCAAAAGTCAATTATGGCACAACGAATAATTGAAATTTGTGTTAAAATTGAATGTCTACAAGTGGAGTAATTACATTTTAAATAAAAGTGACAAAAAATAATAATTTTAATCTTTGAACGTTACCCGTACCGGATTCGATGGACATTAAAGATAAATGCCAACTATCTTATAGCCAGAAATGATATCTACAACTTTAATTAGAAGAATATCTCATAGTATCTAATAAAACTTTGGACTTAGACGTGAATAAAAACTGAAAAATAAAGATTGAAATAAAAAAAAATATGAAAATAAATTATCGAAAATAATTAAATTTAAGAGAATAATTTTAAAACGTCTGATATTCAACCGTTAATATTAAGTCCAATTCCCAATTTAAAAATCTGAAATTTTCACAGTAGATGTTCTATATAATAGTCTTTAACTTTACTTAGTACCATTTATATTATTATATTAAAAGATAAAGAAGTTTAATATGTAGATACGATTAATATTTTTTTTTTTTTGATTTTTTTTAAAATGATCGACACGGATTTAAAAATTCGAAAATAATTTCCAATCGTAGTCACATATAAAACTTTTGTTTTAGTGAAAGTAACATTAAAGCCAAAAATTAAGTGCATCTACTGCAAAAGTTTTGGAATTTTTTAACAAAAATTGAAAATATAATGATCGTAAGAAAATTTAATATAATAAAAATTCGTGTAGATCATTTTTAAAAAGATCAAAAAAAATTTGAAAATAATTACTAATCGTATCTACATATTAAACTTCTTTATCTATTAATATAATAAAATAAATGGTACTAAATAAAGTTAAATACTATTATACAGAGAATCTACTGTGAAAGTTTCAGGTTTTTAAATTGGGAATTGGACTTAATATTAACGGTTGAATATACAACGTTTTAAAATTATTCTCTGAAATTTAATTATTTATTATTCACTCAATTTTTACAAAAGATGCTTTATACAGGCTTTAGGGTTGCTTAGTAGTACTTTTATTGTTTTATTAATAAATAATAAAAACATCAGGCTTTAGGGTTACTTAGTACTACTTTTATTGTTTTATTAATAAATAATAATATTACAGACGAATAAACGATCGATAATTATTTTCATATTTTTTTTTATTTCAATCTTTAATTTTATTAAATTTCGGCCATTTTTATTCATGTCTAAGTAAAGTCCAAATTTTTACTAGATACTATGAAATATGCTTCTAATAAAAGTTGTAGATATCATTTCTGGCTACAGTTTTATATAGATAGTTGGCATTTATCTTTAATATCCATCGAATCCGGTATGGGTAACGTTCAAAGATTAAAATTATTATTTTTTGTCACTTTTATTTAAAGTGTAATTACTCCACTTGTAGACACCCTAATTCAGGTGAATCTAGTAAAAAAAAGTTTGCACAATTTCGATTATTCGTTGTGCAATAATTTACTTTTGAATAATGCTAATGTTTTTTTAAAAAAGCTTTATATGATTAATGGACATTTTTCTCAAGAGTATGTATTTGTAAATTTTTTTTTTTTTGTATTTTCAGTATTTTTGTATTTTCAGTATTTTTGTTAACTTTAAGCAAGAAAGTACCCAGATATTCGTTTTTGCTACACTAAGTCTAAACCTTTGAGAATTATAAATATTTTCGAATGAAACAATTTCTGCATTTCGAGAAAAAATTATTAATTAATAAACTGGTTGCTCCTATTCATCTATTTTTAATGGTGTGTCTCCCGCAAATAATCTTATGATTCTGCGTATATCATCTTTAGATCCCTAAAGCCAAATGTGAAATATTTTCGTGGAATATTTTTGGTGTTTTTTGGTTGAATTTTCTTTGATTCGATAATAAATCCGTTCCAGAGATGGTACCGGAATTCAAAAAAGGAAATAACTACTAATAGTAATTATTGTTAATATTTCCATCAGTTTTGATATAGCGAATATTCGTTGTAATTTATTGCCCAGCATAAGAACCTCCACAACTAATAGAAAGAGGTTCTTGCAAATATTTATTACATTTCGAAGATTTGTTGATAGTATATACGTATATGGGCATGCCTTTCTCTTTCATTCTGATTAAGCTAAATATTATATCGAAAAAAATAAAGGTTAAAAATAATTTAAAGATGGGCAGAAGGAATTAAAAAAATTTCAAATCGATAGAAAAATATTATCTATATAAATGCAGAAGAACAATGCCTCGAACTTAGAACGATCATTCACACAATAATTTATTTTTTTGATTAATAAATTCTAAATTTATAAAACATCCGCCGATTGCGAAAATTTGAACTTTCGTCCTTTATACTAAAACCAATTCTTAGTAAAGTTAATAAAAATATATAGATAATGAACTTAGAAATTTTATTCTTTACATTATCCAAAGAGGTATATCATATAGGTCTTTAGCACAATGTCACAATAATGGAATATTCGGTCTGTGGTTAAAGGAAAAAATTTCAGAATCAAAACTTAATGACGAAAATATAAGGATTTATACTATGTTTCGTCAGAAAGTATTTACTGCACCACAAGCTGCGTTTCTAATCTAAAATTATTATTAAAGTTTAATAATATTATAATAAACTAAAAGTTTAAATATACAATAAGTAATTATGTAAATTCATTTTAGACTAGCAAGGTATTGATTAATTATTGATCACATTTATAAAACTAAATTTATCTTTCGTATTTACAAACAAACAATAATGAAGAAATTTTTACAAAATTAAATCCAAGTTCTTTGGGCAAAAGAAAGGTTTGGCTTTTTTGTTAAGGTCAAACATAGAACTTTCGGTCATATTGTATTGATATTTCATTAATTACAGAATCTAAAAAAAAGAATACTTAATGATAAATGTTTCTGGTCATATGATATCAAGACCTTAAGGTGGCAAGCATTAGGATTTCATCAATTAAAATTTTTGAATTTATTATTTATTATATGACACGTAAAATTCAAAGGAAAAATTGTGTCTTAATACTTTTATTTAACAAAATATATTTCTATATTACAATAATAATTTTAACAATAAAGATAATAATTCTCAACCAAATTTTTTTTTTTTTTACCATTTCATCACATCATCAACTTCCGCTTCACCAAATACACTATCTTTGGTTACTTGGAATGTTGTTTCAATATTTATGATTTCTTCACTAATAATAATATCAGATAATTGTTTACGAATAAATTTTAAAAGGTGTCGATTAATTTGATCAAATTCCAAAAGAAATCCATCATGTCCATCTGGTGAATGTATAGTAATCATTTTAGAATTTGGAATATGTTCAGCTAATTCATATTGTTCTGAAATTGTGAAAAGTCCATCTGATTCAATTCCTTAGAAAAAAAAAATAAAATATAAAATAAAATAAAATTAATAAATAATTAATTAATTGAAAAAAAAGAATTTGAAATAATTTAAAAATAAAGATTTCTTACCAAATACACAAGTTGGTTGTTTAATACTTCTTAATATATCCACTATATCACCTTTTCTACCTTTTGATATGTCATGAGAATCCATCTTACGAGTTAAACTGATATAACAATTTGCATCAAATCTTTTGACGAATTTATCACCTTGATATCGAAGATAAGATTGAGCTGAGAATGTGTGAGGTACTGCAGCTGTTAAGTGTCTATTATTATTTAATGCCCATTCTTTTGTATCGATAGATTCAATTGAATCATTATTATTACTATTCTTAATATTATTAAAATTATTTTTGTTATTATTTTTGTGATTATTATTGTGATTATTGTTGTGATTATTGTTGTGATTATTGTTGGGATTATTTTCTTTGCTATTTTCCTCATCATTATTATTATTACTGCCATTAATCCCATTAGATCTATTATATATAATTTCACTTTTATGTCCTTCATTATGAATAAGTAATGCTGTTTCCGCTGGTGTTAAAACTTTAAAATGATTATTATTATTAACGTCTGATAATTTTTTTGGATCCTGAAGTTTACGACCAAATCGTGATTCGAAAGAATCTCGTGAACGATAGGTTAGAAGCGCCGACATACGTGCTGCGGCGAGACCTGTATCAGGTGTCTATAAAATAAATAAATAAATATATATATATATAATGTATAAATGGTTAGAAATAATGAAATGATTTGAATTGGAAAAGGAGAAAAATAGAAAAAGTTAGAAAAGGTAGAAAAATACCTCATCATCTGTATAAAATCCATTACCTAAAAATAATTGAAATAATTAAATATTAAAAAATAATAATAGTAAAATAAAATAAATAAATAAACTAAATTTTAGTGATCAAAAAATTATGATAAATATAATAAATTTTCTTTACAATATTTATTATCACAGTAAATAGATTGTCTTTGAGCTTCGTTCCAACTTATACCCCAAGCAGAAAATCTTGCCGATGTAGCAATTGGTGCGATTGTTTTAACATATTCCTGACCAAAAAATGCCCACTCTAATACTTGCATTCCACCCATAGATCCTCCAATGCATATTGCAACTTGTTTAATACCCATATTATCCAAGATAATTTTATGAAGCCTAACATCATCCCGAGGAGTTGTCAAAGGAAATTCTGGACCATAAATTAATCCGGTATCAGGATTAATAGTAATCGGTGATGCTGATCCATAAGGTGATCCAAGCGTATTTCCACAAAAAATGAAAAATTTAGTTGGATCAAAAGCTCTTCCTTTTCCAATTAATGGTCCCCACCTTTTTTTTTTATAATTATTATAATTATTATAATTATAATTATTATAAATATTTTTTTTATAATTATTTTTATTATCATTTTATTATTATCATTTTTTTTTATTTATTATTATAATAAAATATTCAAAAAAAAAAAATTTATTAAATATTTTGATAAAATTTAAAAAAAAATGACAAGGTTAATTAATAATAATTTACCAATCTGCAACATCCGCACTACCACTAAGAGCATGACATATAACCATGACATTATCCTTATTATGATTAAGACTTCCCCATGTTTTGTAAGCCACTGGAACTTTATGTAAAGTGTGTCCGGATATTAGAGTAAATTCAGGTACAATTGCGATATGTTGTTCATTTACCATAGAAGAGAACTTATTTTCGGGTTGTAAACTGATATGCTCTATCAAAAGTTATTTATTATAGTTATTAATTAATTAAAATTTTAAATATTCGGAATATTTTAAAATATTTTAAAAATTTCAGAACACTCCATTACCAAGGTTAGATAAGACCATTTTACTTCTTTCTTTATGTTTAATTCTTTCTTTATGTTCAACTTCTTTATTTATGTTCAACTCCTTTTTTACGTTCACTTATATACTTTATTTTTTAAGTTATAATCTTATAATTTTCGCACGTTTTCATCAATAAAATTCTTTTTATATCTTATCGTTTTTTACTTGTTATGTCACATCAGGAAATGATCCGATAAAAAAATAAAAATGGTTGGACTTTTTGATTATCGTTATCATAGTATTATTATCATATAGTATTTAGAAGAAAATGTCAGCGAAACTTTTACATTCAATCATTGTTAATTACACTTTAAATGATAATAATATTGATTCTTTTATACCTTTTATACTTGAAACAATAACCCATCATCAATTATTAAACACAAATAATAAAGCATCACCACAACAGGATTCAAATTCTATAGATCAACAACAAATACCATTTCATAAATGGTGTACACGCATCGATTCATTATTACAATCTAAAGTTAGTGGTGCTAGATGGGCTGGAGTTTGTTTTATAAAAATTTCTATTGAACAATCGGAATATCTATTTACTCAGAATTTGCAGACATGGTCTTCTACTTTGTTAACTTTACTCACGGTTAGTTTAAAAATAAAGTGAAATAAATGAATTTTATTTATATTAAATTATTTAATTTTTTTGATTTGATTTAATTTAATTTAATTTAATTTAATTTAATTTAGCGTCCGGAACTTAAATTTGCATTGATAAATACCATTTCAGTATTATCTATAATGTTTGGAAGAACAACTGATAAACCTGAACTTCAACGAGAAGTAACTTTACAATTACTTCCACGCTTTAATAATATTTTATTACAACTTTCGACGAATAAAGAACTATTGGTAATTCAATATATCATTCTTATTTTATTTTATTTTTATTTTATTTTATTTTATTTTTTTTTGAATATGTAAAATTAATTTTCACAATATTTAAAATTTTCTTTTAGCCAACGATATTTGATTCATTATCTCAATCAGGTTCCCAATTTCCAAATATGTTTCGTCCAGTATTTGAAAATGTACAAAAATTATGTTTGGGAGTTTTAGATGGGACATATGATTACGAATCATGTATTGTTAAATCCGCGGTTAATTGTTTTGCGAGTATTACGAATGCCACAACAAATAAGCCCGATCAATGGAAATCAACTATGTTAAGGATAATTGGATCAATAAATTTGATATTAGATCGATTGTTTGATACGATTGAAGAAGAAGAAAAAGGAGGAGGTGGAGGAGGGAGTAGAGGTTAGAATCTTTGAAATTCATCATCCTTTTCTAAGGAATTTTGTTCAAAATTTGATTAAATCCTAATAATGCCAGAATAATGCCAGAAAAGGATTCAGCATCAAAGAAATTATCATATTTTGAGTTTCCTCCCGTTACCGACGATTATATCAGTAACTTTCCTATTTTATTTTCAAGATTTCAATGTTTATGTGAATGCATTGTCTCCTTAATAAGGTTTGAATAATAATAATTATCATTATTATTATTGACGAAATTAATTTGATTTTATATTTATCGAATCTTTTTTTTTTCCAGTTCTCCCACAACTTCTCCTGTTCAAATTCCATTGAATAGAATTTTTGGTCTTCTTTGTAGAATATATAATGTTTTTGATATTTCTTTAGTAAGTATTAATATTCTTTATTTTTGTTTATCATTTTTTTTTGGTGATAATATTATGAAATTAACTTTTAAAAAAAAATTTATATAATTTATATTTAGAGTGCAGAAAATAAAGATAAAAATGAATTCACTACTTTAATGTTAGGGATTTCATCATTATACTTTCATAGTAACAAAGTTCTTTCAAGTCTGATTGTCTGGTAAGAATGTAAAATTAATTTAAAATTAAAAAAAAAAAAAATTCGGTGCTAATCGACAATCTTGTTTTTTAAAAAAATTTAGTTTTGGAGAGTATTTTACGCGCCATTTACGTCTAATATCAAATATAATATCGAAACAATTTAGTTTAACCGAAAATCAATGGTATTTATTTATTTATTTTTATTAGAATATTGATAATATTTATTTATTTGTTTGTTTATTTTATAGGTTACTTCGAGTCTCGGTATATCGATTAACATCTTTATTTATACAAAAATATGGAATTGGGTTTACACACTTAATATCTTCAACTTTAGTGAATTCTATTATTGATGATATTAAGATTAACCAGAAGCCAAAATATAATGTTGAAAATTTTTCCGAAAAGGTAAAATAAATTATTCCTGTTAAAAAAAAATAAATATAACAAATAATAATGATTATAATGCACATTTTTTCAATTGATATTATAATAGAGAAGTGGAAAAAAGAAAAGACAACAAATTACAAATTCAGATTTACTTATTAATTCAGGAATCCAAATTTTTTGTTATACAAATGTTGATGTACAATTGGCTTCTTTAGAAAGTTAGATGAATTTTCAATTCTTTTTATTTGTTATTATTATTTTATTTTATTTTATTTTTTTTTGTATTTAATCTTCTTACATTATTTGATTTATTTCACACTTGAATTTTTTTTTTTTTTTTTTTTTAGCATTAAAAAATCTTTTATCAAATTGCGGTTCTTCAATACCTGCTAATGTTCGCATAAGCATTGACGATATTATTCTTTCTCGAATTTTAACTCCAATATCAAACCCTCCTACTTCAAATTTTACTTCTTATTCTCTAAAGGGAGGTAAAAAAGATATTGAGGATGATATTCGATTAAAGTTATACGAATGTTTACTTGCTTCAGTAATATCACCTTCAGAATATCAACCTACCATTCTTCCTCATGCATTACGAGTATTTTCCTCTGGTTTAAATGTACGATCTCATAAAGTAATGTCAATCAATTTAAATTATTGTTCTTTTTTATTATTATTATTATTTTTATTATTATTATTATTTTACATTTTTAATATATTAAATATTTATAATTACTTTTTTTTTAGTTACAGTCATTTAGTTCACATGCTCTATCAATTTGTGATCTCATATTTCACAGTCGATTACCACCACTTAAAAGATCAGTTTCAAATTTAGTATCCTCTCAGCAATACAACAGTTTTTCAAATAAACAGGAAGATACTGTTAATATTGACAAAAATATTAACGAAAATATTCACGAAAATATTAATGAAAATATTGACAAAAATATTGACGAAAATATTGACAAAAATGTTGTTGAAAATATTAACAAAAACATTGACAAAAATATTGACAAAAATATTGACAAAAATATTGACGAAAATATTAACAAAAACATTGACGAAAATATTAACGAAAACATTGACGAAAATATTGACAAAAACATTGACGAAAATATTAACGAAAATATTGACGAAAATTCAAAGAAAAGACCATTTTCAATTGATGCAACGGATAAAGGAGATTTAATTTATGAAGATCACAATCGTGCATTTAAATATTTCAGAATTAATGATGATAACATTGATTCTGATGATGACACAGAACTTCCAGAAATTATTCCAGAAGGTCCAGATTCGGATTATGAGAGTTCAATAGAATAAATAGAATAAAGATTACATTATTTATGGTATAAAACATGAGATATATAAGACGTAGACCTATATTCTACGTATTATCTAATAGATTTTGTGTCAAATAAAAATATCTTGTATACGAAAATTCGCAACATGTACTATCACGTTATATATTACATTATTAGCCAGGATAATTGAATAACAGATATATTATCATTACAAACATAAATATTAAGAATGCACTTTTTAAAATGTTAACTGTTCACATAATTTTATTGTAACTAACATTAGATTATTTATGCGATTTTTATATTTAGTTGACGAGACTCGATTATATATACTTATATAACATTAAAGCAATTATAATAAACATTACTAATTTAACCTCTGTATTTAAATAGCCAAGGAATTAACTCCATTTCCTTTTTGCGTGAACATTGATGATAACAACCATAACTAATTCTACGAAAAGATCTTTCTTCGAACTTTTTAACAATTTCAGCCCAAGGTAAAGAATCAGGTAGATATTCAAGCAGAACATCCAATAATATAAGTCGATCTTCAAATGTCCACCATGATATTGATTCAGTTACTTTTTTATCTAAAGCTTTTGTAATTGCAAGTTACATGTGAAGTTTGCTGTGAAACTTGAAAACGAAAAAGTAATTACTTAAAACATTTCCTTTCATCAAAATCCTAAGTAAGGCTTCTGTCTTCAAATTACGAGTTCAATTGTATTTTTGATTATATCTTTATCTAAGTATATTAATTTGTAAATAAACTAAAATTTTATTCTAGTTTCTTTCCATATTGAGAAGTATGATGCTCACCCGATTTCTTATCCTTTGATTCTTTGAGTTTTTTAATCAATTTTGTAATAGTCATTGCAAGTCCATAGGGAAATTCGAATGAACCTGGTTTTCGAATAAATATTTCTTCAGTCAATAAAAGGAATCCCGAACCATTTATCTCCTGTTCTTGGATTCTCTTGATATATTTTTCATTAATATGTGGCTTTAGAAAACTAATAACTTGTTCCTGACTCCAATTTTCGATGTCAACAGAAAATTTGTAAAGTATTTCATATTTGTCTTCACTAGTCTCAAAAGTAGTATGAAAAACTTTAGAATACTATTAGAAAATGATCAAATAAGATGAATTTGTTATATTTAATGGTCTCTCGGATGTAAGATCCAAACTTAATTGGTATTTACTGTAGAATTATCATAAAACTCTGCTTCTCTCCACCTGAAAGCGCCTTCCAATTCACCCAAAATTTCACCTTGGTATGTCAGCTGTGTCACATATGAGAAAGGCTCATACTTGCGAGGGCACAAAACACAATATAAGCACGAGGCTCATGTTGAAGAAGACAGCGCGATCCATGTGTGAATATCGTTGGCATAAAGACGATCCATATCGTTCGTTGCCTTCTCGTACCAAATTTCCATAAGCAAATATAATTCAGTCCTTAGAAAGCCCTCCACATTATCAAGGTCTTCGTCAGAACATATTAGCTCATTCATTTCAGCAGAGACCTTAATGGTACACAAATGCCAGTCCATCCCCTTTACTACATGTGCATAGTTTTTTTCTTTTGTCATGCGCACCGTAGGTGCGATAACGAAATGCAACCCCCTTTGAAGACTTGATGGAAACCGAAGTTTCATCAAGTGAGTGTAAACCAGAGCTAATCCCTCAGCAAGTGGCGTCCTTTCAGGAAGAAAGTAGCAGAGAATTTCCTGATCGCTTAGGCTTCTGTTTGGAACGTTGAGAGGTATATCCAGAGGCACGAAACAGAAGACTCCTCTCGCCTTTTTATAGTTTACTGAGTAGCCCTTTATGCATCTATTGTCAGATGGGTCAAGTTCATAATCACCTTTGTGAAGTTCCTGAAGCATGGATGAATTTACCATAGAGTTTGTGTATAACTTGAACCTTTCTTCGGTTTTTCGATCTTTTCCATTATAAAAAGTTCTTGTGTTGATATTTGTAAATTCAAATTTGTTCTTTTTTAATTGTCAGGTTTGTCTAAACGATATGAACATAGAATCTAGGGGATAGTTAATTTAATGGGTTCAACTTAAGGTTACACATGTGTATTGATGTATATATGATTAAGATCTTTAATGATACAAGTTATTTCGATGCAAATTAAAAAATATATTTTATTTAATCACGCGATAAAAATTATTTATTGCTTAATCCTAAGTCTTCAACAATACGCGTATTCTTAAAAAAAATTTTTTTAATGTAATAAAATCTTTATGCAATAATAACGAAAATAATAAAAAATTTTTATTAATCAAGAATTATTTCGAAATTAGAAGACGAATAAAAATATAAAAACTAATACTGCTAATAATAAGAATAGGATTTTTTTTTTTTTATGTCATATTATTGTACACAACTTGATAACCGAATGATTTTTTTTTATCAAGTTAAATATATATATATGACAAGTTTATTCATCAAAGACGATTTTTTTGCCTCTCCCTGGAACTATTGTTCCCTTATTTGCAGCCATTCTACCCGGACTACCTCCTCTATTATTATCACCGAAACCTCCACCTCTATATCCACCTCGATTCCCACCTCTGTTCCCGCGTCCACCACCACGACCACCACCACCACCACGACCACGACCAAAAGAAACACCACCACGACCAAAGGAATGGCCACCTCTCCGAGGAGAACCTAAGAAAAAGAAAAAGGGATTTATAAATCATTTATAAATCACTAAATACATTAGGAGAATAAGAATAAGAAAATGAATAAAAGCAAAATTTTAATAACATACTTGACTCAAATGATTGTTGAGGTGGAGCAGCAAAATCAAGCCTAACAGCACGTCCATCTATTCTTGTACCTTGTAATTCCATAGCTTCTTGAGCCGAAGTAACATCAGTAAATGTTACGTATCCAAAGCTTAAATAAATAAATAAATAAATAAATATATTTCAATTAATACATTTAATAATAAATTAAATTAAAATATTTAAAATAATTTAATATATATAAATATAACTTACCCTTTACGTCCACCAGTATCTGGAAAAGTTGGAAGCCTAACCGAATTTATTTGACCATATTTTTCAAAAGTTTTCCAAATTGTATCTTCTTCCGCTGTAAACGATAAATTTCCAATAAAAAGCGTGTCACTTGGTTCACTTAGATCCTTTTGAAAACCATTATTATTATTATTTGCATTGCCACCACCACCATTTTTTGGTTTTTGATCGGCGAGATCAACTTTAATGGATCGCCCGTCAACATCTTTACCCGAAAAACTTAATGCCTTTTTGGCAGATTCTGAATTAGAAAATTCAACATATCCAAATCTAAAATAATAAATAAATAAATAAATAAATAAATAAATAAATAAATAAAATTAAAAAATTTATTTATATAATGAGAATAAATAATAATAATTATAAATACCCTTTTGGTCTTCCTGATTCTTTATCATATATAATTCGTACATCCGTAATTTCTCCTGCTTCTTCAAGTTCTTGAGCTAACCGATCTTCATCTATATTATAAGAAAGATTGCCCACAAACACTGTACAATTTGATGAATCGTCATCATTAATTTTGGTCTTTTTGGGTGAAGAAAATTTTTGTTCGTCTTGCTTTCTCTTTGCACCATTTTGTTGTGCGGAAACATTTAGTTTTTCTTGCTTATTTTCAGATTCTTCCGATTCATTACTACTACTACTACCACTACTACTATTACTACTATCATCCTCTGAAGAAGAATCCTTTGATAGAGCAAAAGTTGACCCATTATTCGTTTCAACAACTTTTTTTTCTTTATCATTTGAACTTGAGTCACTTTCCGACGAATCGTCATCCTCTGAAGAAGAATCCTTTGATAGAATGAAAGTTGACCCATTTTTCGTTTTAACAACTTTTTTTTCTTTATCATTTGAACTTGAGTCACTTTCTGACGAATCAGAAGTACTATCACTAGAACTCACTTTTGAAGATTTTTTATTTTGTATCTTAGTGGTTGTTTTTTCATCAGAATCGCTACTAGAATCCTCTTCACTGGAATCTTCACTAGAATCTTCACTAGTATCACTATCATTTGAATTCTTGTTGGCACCAATTGAAATTTTTGGTATAGCAAATGATGTCGTTTTTTTCAGTAATCCATCATCAGAACTGGACTCGGATTCTGAATCAGAATCACTGGAATCAGGATCATTGGTCTTAACTTTTTTGTTTCCGTTTTTTTTTTCATCACTTGAAACATCAGAATCCGATTCCACCTTTTTAGAAATATTTCTTTTTTTATTAGGTACTATCTTTTTTGTAGCAGCAGGTTTAACCGTGCTGGCTTTATTCGTCTTTTGTGGAATAGATTTGACTCCGTTTTTTCCCATAACGTTAAAAGAGACGATATGATATTTTTTTTTTTCGAAGTGATATATATTTATACCAACCAATCACATGTGAGACCAATTAAAAACGGTTTTTTTTTTTTTTGATTATCGTAACCAATTACAAGAATTATGAAAATTACGAGAATTAAATTTTTAATTTGAAAATTTTGAACAGTATATGCTATTCGAATGATAAATAACTTTGAAAATGCTAGAATGGAATGGAATTCATTTCAAGAACTTATATCTTACTGGAAGCGTAGTACCATACTAACAGGAACAAAAAGTTATGGAGAGTTTACTATCGATATTATAAATGATATTGATAAAGTTGTCTTATTTTTGAATGATTTTTACGAGGTATTCATTCATTCATTTATTATGTTTAATCATTATATTTATCATTATATTCATTATATTTATCATTACATTTATTATATTAAATAGAAACTATTATGTTGCAAGACACCTCAAGACTGTGAATCCCAATTCCCCAAAGGTGGGACATTGCTAACAGATATGGCGGTACTTTTTGCGTATCTTCTAAAATGTAAAACAATTCTTTTTTTTTTTTTCGAAGATTCTTAATAACATTCTTTCTTTTTACATCATTCTTTTTTTTCATTTTTTTAATTATCTTAGCATATTCGAATTCTTGTGATGCATCCGATTATATGTAAATTACTTATAAAATGTATTATAGAATATTCGAAATTCTTTTCTAATTTTCCCGAAACATTAGAAAATCCAACTAGGTAATCTATCTTAAATTATATAATATATTATAATATTTTATATTATATAATATCTTATAATATTTTATATTATATAATATCTTATAATATTTTTTTTTTCTTTAGTCGTATAAAGAATTGGTGCGCAGAAAGATTACATGGCTTTCTCGTTCCTCACGTTTTACTTTCGGATAATTCTTCGATATCCTTATCTGATCATTGTGGAGTAGGATCATATGATCTTTTTCTTATGAGCTTTAATGAATCAGTTTCAACAATAACAGAGTTTTTGGAAAGAATTAATTCGGAATGTTTAGTAATGCCGGTAAATTGAATTTATTATATTATTTTTTTAAATTTTATTAATTTCATTAATTTCATAATCTGATTTAATAATTTTTATTATAGCCTCAATATTTTGTTAAGATCACCGAGCAATGTTTATTATTTCTGGAAGATCTATCAATGTTGAAATTTATCGATCTCATAATACGTACCGCGACCAAAATTAATTTGAATAATACTTCATATTCAAATGAATGTGAAGTATTGTCATGTGAATTTGTGGAAAAATTGATATTTTCCGGATCTTCAACGTTTGATAAATTAAGTATTGAAGCGAAATCTGGGTATGTTATTTTTGTTATTTCTTTATTTTTATGAATATAGATCAAAGAATTAAAGTAAAAAATTATTTCTGCATCTATTATAGAATATGGGCATCTTGTCCTATTTCTGTAGAACATGAGGTTATTTTTATTATGTTTATTTATTTCTATTTTACTTTATTTATATATTTTTATTCACACTTTTTCTTAATCACCATAATAAAATAATAATAATGATAATAATGATGATGATGATGATCATAAAAGATTATGAAAATTTTTGGAAATATTCTTTTTCCTACAGAAAAAGAAGAATATATGACACCAAATAATATAAGAGAAATCATTCGGAATGAACTTTTCTTTGAAAGAATATTTGTACACCCAAAAATATGTCATATTTGTTTTGATGTATTAACCAACTTAATAAACGAAACACCTGATTGGCGTATTTTTCGATTAGTAAGAATAACAATACAATTCATTTTTGATGGTTGCATTACTCGGAATGATCAAAATGATTCTATCCCTATAACAAAGGTATAATATTAAGAAAAAAAAAATGATTATATGCGTTTATTCTTAATTATTTTATTTATTTATTTTTTTTTTGATAAATTTTTCCCAGTACTTTTCGAAATCGTTTTCAAAACTTATCTTGGTTCTTACGAATGAAAATGAAATTTTTGGATCACATAATTATTCAATGATCAACTCTAGTCTTAATCAATTTTTGACAGATTTAAATCCTTCAGATATTGAGATGTTTAGAAAAAAAGAATGGATAATTTTAATGTCATTTCCAAAATGGTACTATTGGATAATTAAATCGATCTTTGATATAGAAAATTATCCACATCTTAATGAAGTAAGCAATTATTCAATATATTTTTTATATTTCATTTTTTTTTTATTTATGTTTATTTTATTTTTTTATTATCATTTGTTTATAATAGCTAGAAGCACCACTGCAGTATCTTTCATGGTTGATTTATCCAAGAGAAGACGGTTTTGCAATTATTCTCAAAAATACATTGATAGAAATTATCAATTATATTAGAGGCAAATAAAATTATTATTATTTCTTTTTAAAAAAAAAACTGACGCGGTGCTGATATTTATTTATTATTATTTTATTTTTTTTGTAGATTGCATATCATCATCAGAAAAAAATGAGAGGAATAAAAAAATTATATTATTTCTTAATCAAAATCGACATTTTTTTGACAATCATTTATTTTTAGTGCACATCTTGTTGGGAATTTGGAATATTGAAAAATCGATTAATTTCTTTAAAGAAATTGTAAGTTAATTTTTCATTTTTCTTGAATGATAAGAATGCACACACACACACATTTATATGAATCTATTTCTAGATGAATTTATATGTAATACATAATAAAGAAAAGATAAGCACATTTTTGAGGTAAAAATTTATATTGACTTTAAATTAAATAATTAATTATTCAAATAATTAATATACATTTTATTTCATGATAATTTAGAGATGATGATGTAAACATTAATTTAGTAACTTTGACAGCTATTTTGGATTATTTTTATGAAACACAAACTTTAAATAACACTAATAGTAATAGTAATAATAATAGTAATAATTATAGTAATTATAGTAATAATAATAATAATAGTAGTAGTAGTAGTAATAATAATAGTAATAGTGATAATAGTAACATAATGTTAATAGGTTATCTAAAATATCTAAAAAATTTATACAAATCTTCCTTGTCAATTGTAACTAATTGTATATAACAATAGAATAAAAATATAAAAACGTAGTAATAATATAACATTTAATTTTTAAGTCGTAATATTATTGCTTTATCTGTAAATATCTTGGTGTGGAAAAAAAAAGAAATATCTGAAACAACTTCTATGATATGTAAATTCCCCAAATAATCATGTTATCTACCTTTTGACTTGACTTTCTATTTTAATTGGCCAATATTAGTATATTTTTATCTTGTTTAACAACACTTGCTTTTCACTAGTTGAAATTTCACAAATTTCAACTAGTGTTTGTCTTTTATGTCAATTTTCAAAAATTTCCAAGGCATCCAAATGAGTATTAACTTTTTTAGTTAGTTGTTCTTTCTCCTCACGTAAGCTATTTATTTGCCGTTCATAAAAAGTTGTCATACTTTCACTTTGATGAGGTAGAGATAGCAATTCTTTTTCTTCTGTATTTTCTTTTCTCTTAATACAATGATAAACAATTTTGTTGATAGAATATACAATATCTGATTGAATTCTTAATTGATTACAATTACTATACTTTGGTAATTCAAACCTTTCTTTACAATTCTCACAAATAAAATCATTTGCAGTATGTTATTAGTGATTTGATCATGAGTTATTACTTATTAAGATGCTTTATTAAAAATCACACACTGAACTATCGCTACACCTCTAAAAATGTGTAGATTAGATTCTCCATATATTAATAATTACCAATTTTTACCTCGATTTTAGCAATAAGTTTTTTGTTCTAACTCTCGCTTTTCAGATTTAACTCTTTCTATTAAATGCTGGAATTTAGTTTTTATTTTTTTTCTTAAAGAATTTTAACTTATTTGGTTTTTTAGGTAAAGATTTATCCAAGTAAAATTTTAGACCTTTTTTTCTTCAACTAAACTTTCATTAAAATTTTTCAAAGCTCAATTATTTTTCTCTAATTGCTCTTTCATATTTTCCACTTTTCCCTCAGCAAATCTTCTGACAAAGTCGAGCAATATAGTCTTATTATTATCAAGTTCATCTTTTAGGTTTTTCATTTGTTTTTCATAGTTAGCTTTGGCTAGTTCACCAGCATATTTAATAGCTTCAAGATGGGCTTCGCCTTCACTTCAAGCCTTTTTAAGTTCTCTTGTAATATATTTGTTATGCTCTTCTAACCCTTCTATTTTCTTTTCAAATTCTCCTCTTTGTCTAGTAATTGCATAACCTCGTTTACTTCAATCTGAAATATAACTAGCACAGGTTGAAGCTAATTCTTTTGAATGGTTAAAAAAATCTTCTGTCATTTCCTCAGTAGTAATATTATCAAAATAAGTTTTTTCATTTTCCGCTCTTAATTTTCCTTCTTCCAGTCATTCTTACTCAACTGTTTATATCATCAATGACCAGGGGAATAAACAGTTTTATTGGAGTGAAACTGATGTTTCAGATTTTTAGTTTAAAGTTCTTTTCTGGTCGCAAAATTTCTTTATCTTTACCTGCTAATTCTTTTTTTAATCATTCAATTTCATTTAATAGTTCTTTGTTTTTTTCTTGTAGTTCGTTTATTATGTTTACCAAAATTTTCTTTGTTTATTTTTATTTATTCTGTTAATATACTTATATCTTTTTATCAGGGTATATTAAGTATATTTTTATTTTACAATTTCTCTATTGTAAGCTTGAAAGTCAGAAAAAGCTAGCAATGTTTGTTGAAAGATTAAACTTAGACTTAATGGCAAATTCATGAACGAGGGATTTTATTCTAAATATTTTATTAATTGTTAATATAAATTGGTTGTGGGCAAATTAATGTCTTTAAATTCATCTCTGATAAATGCACGAATGTTTTGGTAAAGATACTCTTGCCTTTTGTAATCCAAAGGAAGAGGGGTTAGTACTAGGATGGAAAAGGATTTAATTTCTTTGGTAATTTCAGAAACACTTGTTATTCTGTTAGCAACCGTCTAAGCTTTGACAACTCCATGATTAGTTGCTTCAAATAGAAAATGCTAATATTTTTGCAAACCATTCAACTTTTTAAGAAAATTCCCAACACAGAATTAATATCCAAATATTGAAAGCCTTTGTCACCTTCGTAACACTGAACTTTGTTTAATCCTGCTGTACTTGATTTTTCAAACTTTAACAATATGATCCACGCAATCTACTGTTGTTTTGTGGTATAATTTCTTAATCAATTCAAAATTACCATCACACTTGAATTTAGTATGTCCAGGCTGCAGGGTTGTCAAGGGACCCTTGGGACAATGTTGAGACAAAAATTATTATTAAAACCTGCTTTGAATTATTAATTATTAATTAAAGTCATTTAGAATTAATTTTTATATTTATTTATAAAGTTTTTAATATCTATTTATAAGCCAATTAAGGACAGAGACAGTGTGATAGGGACAGTTAAAAAGTTGGGAACATATAAAATGTACTAGGGTTTCATAAAAATATTCGAATCCAAATTGATTTGCGGATCGAATCCGGATCGGATCGGATCGGATCATACTGTTATGAATCCGGGTCCAGATCTGATATGGATTCGGATTGATCAAAAAAGGATTCGGATTGATCCGTTGATCCGAAGGGATCTGAATTCAAAAACAGATTAAATCCTGTGATACAATAAATAAATATTATTTTATTACTTTCGTTTCCCATTTAAGTGTAACTTTAGAAAATACTTGTAATTAAAATAATTGTCTATCATTACTACATATAAAAGAGGAAATTACATATTATGTAAAATGGACAGGCCTATATAATTAAAATTGAGAGAATTCTGAACAATTAAAATTAAATAGATAAAAATTTTAAGATATCAATTATTTACTTAATTTGTGATATAAGTCTGTTCTTTCTATATGATATGCAATTCATTCTTATATTTAAGGTTACTTAGTACCATTTTTGATATACACTTATAAAATAAAAAGTTTTATATATGTCAATAATTGATGATTTTATATATCCTAACTTTTTATAAATTCAAAAAAGTAATAAAATCAAAAATTGTATATAAAATATTTAAATCTATAAAAAATATTCAAATTTATAAAAAATATTTGAATTCACAAAAATATTTGAATATTTTTATATATTCAGATTAAATTCAGATTGATCTGAATACATTAAAAATCAAATTCAGATTTTAAAAAGTTGGATCTATATATAACAAATCTGAATCAGATTTGAAAAGAATAAATATTAAATAGATCCAAATATTGGTAAAAAATCTGATCTAATTCAATTTTGCAGAATTCTAAAATGTTGTAACAGTTTTGACTATGCAGTTTATACTTACTTATTTTATTATTTTATTTTATTTTTTTTTTATTTTTATCTTTCTATTTTATTCTTTTTACTTTTATCTTTCTATTTTGATAATGAATGATAACATATGTAATTAGTATTGATATACAATAGATTTACAATATAGTTAATCACATGTATTAATTATTTATCTTTATTTATTTATATTTTCTTTTATATATATTTTATCATATGCAACCATTCAGATTGGTCTTGTAAGACCTAGGATATTATTTATTATATATTTATATTATATAACAATAATTATATATTTTTATATAAATAACATATAAATAATAAAGAGACAAGCAAGTTCTTGTCAATTAATTTAATTATAATCTATTTTGTTGAAATAATATTTGTTAATATAACAGTTTTTGTTGTTACATCCTCTATGCAGTATTTTACATAGTTATACTTACCTTCTTATTTTATTTTATTTTATTTATTTATTTCTTTTTATTTTTATTTTTTTATTCTGATAATGAATAATAGCATATGAGATTAGCTTTAGATTTATAATGTAGTAATCCCATGTGTTAATCATTTTATTTCTATTTTATTTTATTTTTTTATTTTATTTTATTTATTATATTATCATATGTAACCATCCAAATTGATCTTGTAAGACTTAAGATATTATTTATTATATATTTATATTATATAATACTAATTATGTATTTTTATATAAATATAACATATGAATAATAAAGATACAAGCAAGTCTTGTAAAATAATTTAATTACAAATCACAAACTTCACTAATAAATATTTGTTGATATTTATTTTTTATAATGAATTAGTAGATTTATTACAGTTGATATTATTTTCATATTTAATAAATAGTTGTTACTATTTATTTTCTTGTTTATAAATTAGCGAATTAATAAATTTGTTACAAATGTACAATACTGTATCTAGGTACTAGGATATTTAATTTAATACTTTATAATAACTACAAATTATTAAATATAAATAAAATCAAATAATAATATTATTTTTATTCTGTTCTCCTACATTATCACAAGTAATCTTTAAATACTTTTTTCATAAGTTGAACCTTAATTTCCTTATCTTTATCTTCTATTATCACAGAATTTTAATCCTCCTAATAATATACATTGTTATCATAAGTTTCCTCCACTTTAATAATTTTTATTATTTATTATTATTTTATTTCTTATTTGTTATTTATTTTGCTAGTATAATTATTTAGTATATTCTATTTATTAGTTATAATTAATATCTATTTGTTAGTATAATATAGTAGCCTAATTACTAACCAATTTACTAACCAATTTAGTGATCAACTGATTAATCAATTTAGTAACCAACTAATTGATACAATTACTGATCAAGATTTTAATCAACTTATTGATCAACTTATTGATCAAATCAAATAATATAAAAATAAATTTTTATTTTGATCAACCAATTGTTGACCAGACTATTTCGAAAATAGCGATAATTTATAAATAAGAAAATAAATAATAATAATTATTTATTAAACACAGAAATAATATCAACAAATATTATTTTAACAAAATAGATTATAATTAAATTAATTGACAAGAACTTACTTACCTCTTTATTATTCATATGCTATTTATATAAAAATATATAATTATTGTTACATAATATAAATATATAATAAATAATATTTTAGATCTTACAAGATCAATTTAGATAGTTGCATATGATAAAATATATATAAAAAAAATATAAATAAATAAAGATAAATAATTAATATATAAAATTAACTATATTATAAATCTATTATATATCAATATTAATTATATATATTATTATTTACTATCAAATAGAAAGATAAAAATAAAATGAATAAAATAAAATAAAATAATAAAATAAGTAAATATTAATTATGTAGTCAAAACTGTTACAAAATAATTCTAAAATAGTGAAATTTAGAAAGTAATCTCAACTGTAATTAATTATGTAATTTAACTGGACTAGTGAGATCTTGACTATCTCTTAAACTATTAAGCGAACAAATTTGCCTGCTTAAATTATTTTTGATGTGTTTTTGTATAATTACAAAAGATTTTTATATATATATACCCCTTTTTATAGTCAAATCTAAGAGTGTACTATATTGCCAATTATCCGTGATTCTTTTTCCACAGTTCTTCTAACAAAAATTCAAAATTCCACCCTTCAAAAATAACTTCTGGAATTGCTGAATTCTGTTCTCTTTAACTAGATCAAATGCACTGTCTTTAAGTTTAACCTTAAGTTTGTCTCTTTTAGAAAATATAGAAGTATATATTAACAACAACAAAAAGTATATTTCACTTTTGACATCCCACCAACGTTCTTTGAAAAATTCAGAATCAAATCTTGAGAACAAAGAAGAGGATACCATGAGTGCTCATAAAGATAAACATAAACCAGCAGTACAACTGCCACTACTACCTTCTAATTTTAATTATTTCATTTATCTGAGACCACTGTATCACATATTTGCTAATTTACTACCATAATACAAAACTAATTTTTCAAAACTAATTAATTTTTTCTTTTTTTTTTACAAACAATATTTAGACATGATAATTGTAAATACGAATTTATATTTATCATCAAAAAATGCTAGTGGTGTTAGCAGGCAGTGACTCTGGTCATCTATTAAGGACTTTTCAAATCACCTTCCTTCAATCAATACTGTAATAAAAATACAAAGTTTCCAATTTATAATATTTCGAAGCAAATGTCATTGAATTGTTTCAAACAAATCAAAAGATATTTGCATATCTCTTTCCTTACAGCTACAATTAACAATTATTTCGAAAAACTGAAACCATTATTTTCAAAAATACGAGATATTTCAAAACAGCTTTATACCTCAAGTTCGAATATTTCAGTAACCGAAATGATGATATGATTTTTTGAAAAAAGTATTCATACTATTAAATTAAAGAATAAACCAACTCCTGAGGGTTTCAAGATCTTATTACTTTGTGAATTC